AAGCGGTTCATTAAAGGCCTCCGGCAGTACGGCAAGAACTTTTTCAGGATCCGAAAAGAATTGCTCCCCAATAAGGAGACGGTGAGTATCCCTGGACTTTTATGTAACTTGTTTCATACACACACACACACACACACACACACACACACACACACACACACATATATCTCTGGCTAAAATGCCTTTCTGCATTCCTCCATTTGCTGTGACGGAGGAGCCTTTTTTAACCCTCGATGGGCCTTCGGTCGAATGTTTCTGGGGATATTTGCGTCTGCCTGTGCAAAGACACCGTCGGAGTTTTGAGATCCGCTGGTTTGTCGGGAAGTCTTCGTCTCCCCCCGAGAACTTCTGGGATCGATCCGAGCTTGTTTAACCCCGTGTCGGAAGTGGAAATGGAGTCATAATTGAGCGTTTTTTGCAAACTCAGGAAGAGGTTGGTGATTTAAAGGACGGCAGTGTTAAAAGCTGTTTTAGTTGCGCCTCAGGGAAGGGCAGATCTGTGTTGGGTAGATGTTAAATCAGATCGTGGTCCTTCCGTTCTCCTTGATTTGGGGGACTGGCAAGGCATGGTTTTGTCAGCTGATTTCAGGATTGGTTCTCCTTTGACATGTGCAAAGTTTTTTTCCCCCCAATGATCTGGATGTAATTTTGGACGGGGTGCCCTGCTTATGCTGCTGGAAAAAAGAGACAGAGGAATCCCAGATCTCATCCTGGGCACCCCCTCCTTTTTTTTTCTTTTCTTTTTTTGAACTATTACCATCTGGCAGACGGTACAGGATACTAAAAACAAGGACAAATAAGGCTGAAAAACAGCTTCTCTCCCAGGGCGATAACCATACTGAATTCTACGGTATAGTGCAATATCGGGGTTTTCGATTTCAATGATATAGAATGTAAAGGGATATGTATGTTTGTATTTTTATTGTTAATAGTTCTAACATGCACTGAAGAAGGCATTTAATTTCGTCGTACCGTGTGCCACGACAATAAAGTAAACTAAACTAAACAGAAGATCTTAGGTGGTTGGAATTGGCCTAAATCCACTAAGTGTTTTTATCTATTAGCCTCTGGATTCTTGTGGTGATCCATCCCGCGTAGGTGAAAACAGCTTTAAACGTGTGTTTTCCTCCTCTGGTGTTTTTGTGGCGGCTCAGGCGTTTTTATTTCCAAGGTTTTGGACGAATTCTTTTAAAAAAAAATCGCTCGGTGACAGTACTGCACAAGCCCTGCCTGTTGTGGGTTGCTTGCTCTGAACGGAGGCAGGAAGTTCTTGTGATTGTGACTCATGCTTTTCTTTTTAATTGAATAACGGGGACCTGGCGGGGTTTTTTTTTGTTTTGTTTCCCCTCCCTGGTACAAAGGGCATCTGTTGAAATTCCCCGTTCTATGACCCAAGGAGCTGTCAACGGTGCGGAATTAATGGCGGCTTTGACACACGGATCTCCCTCCCCCCCCCCCCATCTCCTCCCCTCCAATCCATTGGGGACGAGAAACTGCTTCCTACAAAGTTGTTCTTTTTTTTTTTTGTTCCTGTTGTGTCACCGCTGCTGGCCTGACCCACAAATGGGCGATCAAGGGAAGAGGGCAAGAACAAAAATTTGCATTTTAATGACCCTTTTCTCTTTTTGGAGGGACGGAAAAACCGGCTTTTGGAGAAGCGAACTTTAACACACATGCACCAACCCTACCGTGGGCACGCTTACTAAAACAAACAGCAGCCCTGGGAACTGGTGGATTGTGATTTTTTTTTTTCTCTTTCTCTCTCTCTCTCTCTCCCCCTGCAGCCTTTCCAAGTGTATTGTGAGCAGATCTTTGGGAAAGTGGGGGCGGAAGGGTTTGCATGTCCCTCTGAAACGAACAGGAATATTTTCAAATTATTTTGACAGTTTTTTTTCCCCATCTGGCCTGGGAAACAGCTGTCGTCCGCCAGACCCTGTTTTCCTCCTCCTTGCCAAAAACTGGAGGTGGGGGGGCTTCAGTATACAGGCCGATGCATGGAGAGAGAGAGAGAGAGAGAGAGAGGGAGGGAGGGAGGGAGGGGGTGGAGTGGGATGGGGTGGGTAGATAGATATAGATATAAATCAGAAGTGGGTTTCAGCAGGTTCTGACCAGTTCTGGAGAACCAGTAGTAAAAATTCTGACTGCACCCCCCCCCCCACTACTCTGCCTCCCAAGTCCCACTGATCAGAAATGGGGATTTTGCAGTATCCTTCCCCTGGATGGGGAGGGAATGGGCATTTTGCAGCATCCTTCTCCTGGAGTGGGAAGAATGGAGATTTTGCAGTATCCTTCCCCTGGAGTGGGGAGGGAATGGGGATTTTGCAGTATCCTTCCCCTGGAGTGGGGAGGGAATGGGGATTTTGCAGTATCCTTCCCCTGGAGTGGGGAAGGAGAGTTTGCAGTATCCTTCCCCTGGAGTGGGGAGGGAATAGGGATTTTGCAGTATCCTTCCCCTGGAGTGGGGAGGGAATGGAGATTTTACAGTATCCTTCCCCTGCCATGCCCACCAAGCCACGCCCACAGAACCGGTAGTAAAAAAATTAGAAACCCACCACTGATATATAGATGTATATATCTATATAGCTGTCTATGGAAATGGCCAGTTGCATTCTGGGGAAAGAGGCTGTCCCGGCCAGGCTGAGAATTCTGAGATTTTGAGCTTGTCTAGATTACAGCACCGCCATTCCTCCTTCTTTTAAAAACCAAACCGGGATGAACTTGATTAAATGCAACCTCCCTCCCCCCCCCCCACTGCTTTCCTATTTACTTACCCGTTTTGCATCTTATTTTATCTTACAAAATGCTGAAAGGTAAAAAGGCAAACATCGTGTATTCTCTTTTCAGTAGTCTGCCTTTTTTGTTTTTTATTGCTCGAGGCCCAACTTTTTTAAGGGTGAGATGCTACAGATGTGATAGGTGCCGTCTAGCAGTGACTTCCCCCCTTGGATAACGTCATCTCTTGCTTCCTGCCTTTCTCAAAGTCGGCTTCGAGGCCAAGACGCAAGGCAGGAGACACGAGCTTGTTGTGGCGATCCGTGATTACGTTTCAAGGTTTAAAAACCACAGTTTGGGGACTTTTGATGCCTAGAAGGTAACTTAGATGAACTCCATCGCTGGGGGTTTTAGGAGATAGACGGGATCACAACTGTTCCATCAGGATAGAGTGAGACTCCTGGCTTGAGCAGAGGGTTGGACTAGAAGACCTTTGGGGTCCCTTCCAGGCCTATTGACTTCTGGGCTCTAGATTAGACTGTGATGGGAAAAACTGCTTCTCTCCTTGCTTCTTTTCCCCTTCCTCTTGCTTGAAATTGAGGGGATGAAGAGGGTCAGGATAGGGGTGAAATGCTCCTGGTTTGGACCGGTAGCGATGGCGGACAGTGGTTCAGAGAACTGGTAGCAATGGCGGCGCAAGGCTCCATCCAATCGTCACTACTTCCTGGTTTTAACCAGGAAGTAACCTGTTTTTTACCCTATGAGCATGCCCGTGGCCCGTGGGTCAGGATTCTTTCAAGTGAGGTTCTGCATGGCACAGTCCAAACTTGCAAGAGAAGAATTTGTTGTTGTTGTTTTTAGTTGCGAAGTCATATCCGACCCATCGCGACCCAATGGACCACATTTCTCCAGGCCTTCCTGTCCTCTACCATCCTCTGGAGTCCATTTAAGCTCACGCCGACTGCTTCAGTGACTCCATCCAGCCACCTCCTTCTCTGCCGTCCCCTTCTTCTTTTGCCCTCCATCGTTCCCAGCATGAGGCTCTTCTCCAAGGAGTCCTTCCTTCTCATTGGGTGGCCAAAGCATTTGAGTTTCCTCTTCAGGATCTGGCCTTCTAAAGAGCAGTCAGGGTTGATCTCCTCTAGGACTGACCGGTTGGATGGCCTTGCAGTCCAAGGGACTCACAGGAGTCTTCTCCAGCACCAGAGTTCAAAGGCCTCCATTCTTTGGCCCTCAGCCTTCCTTATGGTCCAACTTTCACAGCCATCCATTGCAACTGGGAAAACCATCGCCTTGACTATACGCTCTTTTGTTGGCAGGATGATGGGCAAGGACAAAATGGTTATTGCCATTTTGAACCACTGGGCTCTAATCCAGGATGAGGGAGCTTGAGCTGGGCTCAGCTGGGGACAGGTGGAAGAGCACTCTGCACTTCCTCAGAAGCCGTCTCTTTTGAAATGCTTCAATCCAGCCCTTGACTTAGAACTTGAGCCACCCTAGAGAACCGGAAGTGCTCAGATTTCACCGGACGACGTAGCAGAGCAAAAAAAAAAAAAAAACTGTTTTGAAGTTTTTCCATCAGGAGCCGGGAGGAGCAAACAGTGCATGGAATTTAATTCCCACTGTGTAAGCCTCTTTCGCTTAACTTCTCTTCTCCAAAAAGCTCCCAAAAGCTCCCAAAAAGAACCGTTTCCTGTCCCCTTGAAAAGATTCCCAGATGTCACCCAAACAAACAAAGGTTTAATTGTTTAATTTCACCCAATCTTGAGCCTCCCATTTACTCACACACACAAAACTCTGGTTTATTTTATTTCAAAACCTGTTTAATTGCTCTAAAGACTGGGCATTTCCACATTCAAGAACTGCTTGATAAGTTATGTCTGTATCAGCTGCTGACAAATTTACAGGGGTGTCATTGATGACAGTTCCCGTAGTAGTTAATGAACTTGGTAACTGGAGAAGAGAGAGAGAGAGAGAGAGAAGACAGCAGAAGCAACATGGTGCCCATGATTCTGTTTGCTGTGGCTAAGTCTGGAATAAATCTGTGTGATTTTAGTGGCCCTTTTCCCAGTATATCTTGGGGCGGGGGGCACACCTCAGGCTAGGCCGGTACTGAAATCAAAGCATCGGTCCAGTTCTCGCACGTTAAACTAAGTCAAAACCAGATCGTTTTATGGCTTTAGATCAGTGGCACCAGGGACCGGTTCCGTGGACCGGAGGCGTCGTGGTTTCGCATGCTGCCTGCATCCCGTGGATGGGGCTTTGCTTGTATGCGTGGCCCAGGGGTTAGAGACCCCTGGCATAGATATAGATGAACTGAAGATCCGGGGGGGGGGGTTTCTCTCTCCCTCCCCAATCAGCGGTGAAAT